ACATTTTGCAGTTAAGTTTACTTCCTACCGTTTTTTAGTAGCACAGATTTGAATCAGTTCGCGAGAGAGTCGCTGCTTGCCCAATTCAGTTTTATTACTCCATTCAATAAAAACAAATTGTTCCCGTGAATTTGCCTTTTTTCGTTGCGTGTGTAACTATACTGAACATCTGCAGATGCGAATCACGACTTTTTTTTCATTTAAAATTCAAAACATTTTGGTATAACGCTCCGAGAAGGCGCATTCAGAGCACCGAAAAGTCTTCATGCCATTCCAGAATTTTTTATTCTACGCTTGAAATATTTTTGTGTTGCGTAATTCGGAAAAATTCCGAATCTTTTTTTTCATGACGAACATTGAGCACTTTATGACTTCTTTTTTTGAAAATTCAGCAGATTTTTCAGCATTTTATAATTTTCTGCATTTCAAATGTACGGAGCAGATGTGCAGAAGCGCTTCATCCTGATTCTCTCAGGCTAAACGATTCTTCGTTTTTGCACTTTGCATGATTCCTCCGGTTTCTTCACCATTTATTTTACCGCAAGTGAGCTATATAATGATTCACTCGACTCTGTCAAACAGCCGTGCCCCCAATCCTCAGAAAGTCCTAGAATTATTTATATGGGCTGCTAAAAATAGCTGTGTTTACGTTTGCTAGAATCTGTACATCGATGAAAGAAGTGCAAGGTCCCGAACAAGAGGCACTTTCCTTCCAAACCACTTATCGCTCATAGATAAAATCGAGTACACTCTAATGAGTGGTAATGGCAATAATAATAATAGAAATAATAATAATAGCAACAATAATAATAACAATAATGATGATTATAATAATGATGATTATAATAATGACGATAATAGTAATGGTAATTGTAATAATACTAATAGCAATATCAGCACAAGCGATAATTATTACTGCAACTGTTATGATAAAAATTTAAAGGAAGGTAAGAATTAGGTGAAACTGAATCAAGTTAGCAGTTGTCAAGGAATGCTTGTAACTAATAAATTAATAATTGCCAGGGAACTCTGACGTTTTTTTACAGTTCGTCGGTGCTTAAGTCTCGCACCTCTCTATTCAGTGCAGCTCTACATGATCCAGTTGGACCTGGCATCATCGATATCTGAAACTGCCCTTTCCCCTCCCTCGATCTTCCATTAGATTACTAGACCTAAAGCAGCACAGTTTCCTAGATCTTGTTTATCCAACACATGTCAATCGTTGAATTATGCGCCGATTGAATTCGACAATAATTCAGCCATATTTGTGCATTGTACGGTAAATTTCAGCGCAGGCTCTGTGTGCTGTGCTGGGGTGTGCTGTTACGAAATGGGAATTCGTTAAAGCAATGAAAATCAAAATTAAAATGCGAAATTATTCGACACAGATCCTCATAAACATCGATAAACATCATATTTTTCAAGAAATTAAAATTTTTTAAAACGAATTGCATTTGTTGGCCAGTCGTCCAAGCATCATAACTTCCGGGATTGTATCCCGCAATAATCCTATCAGCGGCGTCGTCGAACATCTGCTGCTGCGCATCGTCGAAGAATATGACAAACAGGATATTTTTTCGATCCATTTGTTCTCCTCGACTTCCAACTCACGGAAGTACTCAGCTCCTCAAAAAACGAGCAGAAGATGCGCCCCGATATTAGCGTCTGCTGCCCC